GTATCACGTGGAGCGCGTTGTGATCGATCGATCGCGACGCGTCAACGGAAAAGGACAACACATATATCATCAACTGGTCAGCGGTCTACGGAGAGGACGAGGGGGACGAGGAAAAGCACCGTAGTCCCCCAAGCCCGGACGAAGGAGTGAGGGGGCGTGGACGGGATGCATACGGACTCGATGGTATAAAGTTAAGTAATGTCCTCCTTCGTCTCAAAGCTCGGAGCGGCGCGGGGAGGGCGGCGGTACCTTGGCTTTTCGCTTTGCTCCAACGGGTTCGTAAACATATTCATCTTCAACATGTTGAGGATTGTCGTTGCCGAGAGAGCTGACACGAAACATCAGCAAGGGCGCGTCGAATGACTGCAATGTAAGCTTACTGGAGTTGCTCCATTATCCAGCTCTCGCGTCTAGAAGCATCGTGTTCCCTACGATTCACAGACTCCTCACGCTTGCTGATGTCGCGTTCGCGTTCAGCAATTTTAAGTTCACGGTCTAGGATTTCCTCCGCTCGAGTACCGACCCATCCAGGGGGTGTGAGGGAATCCTCCTTGACGACCTCTTTGATGATAGTCTGAATAGGGCCAGTGACAGTCTCCACGGTGGTGGAGGCCAGGCACGGGGGGCAAACGGCGGGAGTAGGCACGACGCCACCAGGTGCACCAGCCAGCAACTCCGCCTCACGACGGGCAACCTCAGCCTCGCGAATAGCAACATCTCTCTCGCGTTGGATGAGAGCCTGGGTCCGTTTTGGAGTGAGGTAGCTGAGGACACCGGTCGGTGTGGCCTCACCAGCGGTTGCGGACTGGGCGGAAGGCAGGGAGAGCATGACCGCCAGAACTGCGAGCATGAGGGACAAAACTATGAGGAGGGTGGTTGAAGAGATGGTTCGGTGATGATGATGGGATCGTTCGCGATCACGTTCGCGCTCACGCTCGCTGCGGTGGTGGCGTTCGCCATGGTGAGAGGAAGAGGGTTGGGCCATCCTGACTTTGGGGCCTGATGAGGGTTGAGAGAACATGACAAGCGCTTGAAAGTGGACCTACCGCTAATTGATGAACTAGGCGACAAGGACGTGGCAGTGGGCGGAGGACGTAGGATAGACGTTTTGGAAGTTATGATGAAGGATGGGAGGGGATTTGTACAACAGGTAGCGCAGCGGAGAACTCAAGTGGGGGACTCGAGAGAAGGGAGATGGGGGTTAAGAAGGTAACGCAACAATTACGCCTGCCTTTTTTTTACCATTTTCATTGTTCAACCACCACGTGTTCGACACGTGTTTGACTTTTGGGTCTAATTGTCACCACGTGCTTCCTCTACGCTCTTTCAATTCAAGGCTCGAGCATTGACCACCACAGCAGACCTGTTATCGTGTCCTACACATCGCTGACCTCTCTTTGCGGCCCACAATGTCCCTCCGACGTCTGGCACAGGCAAACAACGCGACAACCGCCTCGCCCAGAAGCCCAGACTCAAATTCGTCCTCTGCATCTCCCCTTGCGTCGTCGGCCAATGGGACATTGCCTTCGACGCCGCGCAATCGTGTATCCATGGGCACCTATCGCTCTCCAGCTTCGACGCCTTCTATTTCCTCGTCAATTCCTTTCGACTGGAACGCGGCTCGGTCACGGAAGCCTCCCCCTTACGGCACGCCACTTCAGAACAAAGGGCGTAAGAGCTTAGGCGTTGGCAACTCGGCAGGAACTCCAGCAAAAAGAGTGGTCCGCAAGAAGGGCATAGTCGAAAGGTAATAGCCATTCTCCTACGGACTCGTCATTGATTGCTGACATGGACGTGTTAGAGTAACGTCCATCCCATCGACCATAGCATTTGAAATTGCTTTGTTTCCTCATAACGTTCCTCTCCCATCCCCGCAAACATCAGGTCGTCTTTTGGGTGGGGCACTTCACTTCCTACATCTTTGTGTCCGTGTGAATCAGATACGCAAAGTACCTGATTCCGATTTGGGATGGGAAGACATGTACCGTGAAGGTGAAGGAACCTCGTGGTTTGACTGGGTTAGTGGGTTCCTCTTTGATATCGACTTCTGTAGAGCTCATGCTTCGTGTAAGACGATTCCTGTATCGTTTCTCCTGATAGCTGCCTCGTTCCTTAACGCCATCTACCTCTTTACGCGTATAAAATTATACCGCCTCCACCATCGAGCAGATCCCGTGTCATCTCCAAATGCACGCTTCGTTTCCGCTCATTTGGACTTTGAGCCTTTGGAACCACCTTCCCTTCCGTCGCGCATCATGGCTGGAACATGGTATGGGTTTTCGTACTCATGGCGGTGGTTGCTGGGCATGAAAGCGCCGACACGGCCCGGTCAGCTGCCAGGAAGGACGTCCCGTGTGCAGCAACTGGATGTATGGGCACCAGGACAGTTTGAAATTGTGTTGTTCTGCGTGTACTCGCCTGCGCACGCATTTCTATGGATGGCTCTGGGGTCATCAAATTGGATTTCGATGCTGATAGTCATGGGGCTGGTAGGGGTGCAGGTAATGTGCTATGTTTGTTGCTAAGGGAGATGCTAACCGGTGGATGGTAGTTGCATGCAATGACATACTCGTACACGGCGCTGTTGAAGGACAAGGACATTATCGCGGCGGAGGTGATGAGCGAATACAACCAAGGGGTAAGTGTTTCATTGTGGTGGGACGAGGATGGTACTGATGTCCGGGACAGTTTGTATACCCGCGAGTTAACCCAATTCGCAAGGATGTAGCGGTGATGACGCACGAGTCGGAGATTGTGAACATTTGGGAGGACTAGAGTAGATAGATAGCACAGCCACAATCTTTGTTCTGGACGATACTAAAATTTAAAGCTAAATTGACTAACATGGCTCCCAGAATACCCAAACGATGCCATGTACGTCCCTTCCAAATTCTCACACCTGCCAGGGTCATGAACATTGCATGAACCTCCTGTTAGTTTTTCAATTCCGACGGGTCCAAACGACGCGGAGGCTGCCGCAAAGGCTCACTCTGCCTGTTCACCCATCCCTCCGATTCGGGCTGGACAGACGCCGTCGACAGTAACCCGCCTTTCTTTGCCGGACGCCGTTCTCCGCCCCCGTACGACCGAAAACCCCCGTTCCCCCGCGACAGATCCCCGCCTCGTCGCCACCGTTCTCCTTCTCCTCCACGATCATACAACCGCAGCGCTGAACGATCTAGCCGTCCAAGCGGTGACTACTACACCCACGAAGACACCCGCATCCACTCGCGCTCCAGCTCCCAGGTTTCAGATCTATCCAACAGACAAAGGCGCATTCCCCCGCCTACCTCTGGCTCCACATTGCCGCCCCCGTCAACAGCCACGCTGTCTCCCCCACCTTCTTCATCAACTTCGTTGCCCCCGCCAATCCTACCCTCGACTTTCATGCCTCCCCCTCCATCCACGCCCTTGAGCACGTTCCCTCCGCCAATCGAACAAATTCAACCCCCGCTGCCCCTCATCCCCACCCCACCCGCTTTCTTATCAAGAAAACCTTCTGCGACGCCGCAATTAACTCCTGACGAACTCCGTACGATATGGGCTGAAAGAATCAGGTGAGTCCTTTCACAAAACCTCCCCCGCGCATCTGACCCTCAAGTTAGGATTCTGGCGGAGTGTGTTGGTAATCGCCAACAGTTCGGGAAAGTGGAGAACGATATATCCAATGCTCGTCAGTTAATGCTGACCTTGCGCTTTCCCGGCCTCCCCGACGACGGCAAGCAACGTCTGCAGGACGAGCTCACTAAATTAGAGGCTGACCGCGAAAGACTCAAGAAGAAACGTGACGAGGGCATCACCCAGCTCATCAAGTTGAACAGTTGGCCCGCCGCTCCAATTTCAGAAGCTGAGGAGGGAGAGTTGGCAAGGCATGAAGAGATGCTCAAATATGTCACAGGACTCGAAGAGACCGCGACAGAAATGAACGCCCTCTTGATTGAGCTGCGAGAGCGGAAGGCATTGGAGTTGGGCGGAGACGCCACAACATCGATGGACGTCGATCCCCAACAGGACAGTTCAGGTCGACCTCTGAAGCGGCGACGCCTCTCCGACTCTGGCCGACCTGAATATAGTCCTGGCCCAACCAATGCGGACATCGAGGCGATGCAAGAGAAATTTGCAGATCTCGAGGCGCGGTACTCGGATTTTCAAAACGATATGATCGCACACGACTCAGACATGCTAGACGGATTCAAAGCAGAGATGGACATGAAACTCTTGGAGTTTTCTCAGTCTTTGCCCGCAGCACCCACGGAACCACCGGGTGTGTACAACGACGTGAGGGAAAACATCGACACAACTGGGAACCAGGTGGCAGAATTAGCAGAGGGGGTCAGTCATCTGGTACTTCAGTCGGACGCGCAGTACAAAGAGATCGAGGCCGTCAAACATCGTATTGAAGCCGCAAACACCGTGGTCGCTCAGGTATTCTGCAACCCTACCTTGCTTCACCCCCATGCTTACGCGTTAGTGGCAGATGCAACAGCAGTTCCAAAGCTATACGGACAGCAGGGAACAGGACCGCAAAACAGTGAACGCCCTCGAAGCAACGCTCCAGGCATACATGAACCATCCTCCCTCCAATGCCGTTCCGAGTTTGACACATGATCAGCTGGTCGTCCGCATGCAGGAGCCCCTGGTCGACATCGTCCGCGCGACGGTCCGACCCCTGATTGAGACGCTCCGCGACCAGGTTCAGAAGATGTTGAACTGCCAGAACCAGGAAATGTACAAGACGCTGTGGAGTAAACTCTCACTCACCCTGCGGATGGTCGAGACAATATCCCAGCGGATTGAACGAGCGGAACAGACCGGCGCGAAAGTTCGAGCGGTGGCTTCCTGACATTCACATTTGTATTCTGCTTTGATTCCTATAGGAAACTCTAGTCCATTGGTATCTTTTATGTATTTCTATCCCTACAGTATGCTAGGATGATTCTCTTGTATTTCTTACCCTTGGTCTGCCACCACAGGGAGGTCTAAGACGGGGGAAGCACACAGCCCGTGTAGCTCAGCGGTAGAGCATTGTACTTATGAGGATAACTGGCCAGTTTGTGATATGCAAGGGTCTCGAGTTCGAATCTCGGCATGGGCATTTTTGCATCGCCACCTCCATACGAGAGTACGAAGTAAGCTGCATTTCCCGGATATGTTTGAACTTTGGGCCCTGGGGCAAGAACAACTGCATACGGTACGACCGTCTTGACTACATGCACCAGCGACCAGTGAGTGCAGGATGCACTATGGGCTGACGCTACCCCAAGGTATGGCAGCGCGACTTTTTCAACGTACCGCCAGTCAGTCCTAGGATTGAGATCAACCAATTCCATCATGCACCGAGAAAGGGCCAGAGTATGTTGCTGATACTTGACGCTACTCACTTTCCCGTCAACTTCACCTTGATGTGTCATGGTATTACAGCCAATCCTTGACGAACGAACTCACCAATGCACTTGCTTTAGATAGTACCACGACATCACGTATGCAAATAGTCATGAGCATGGTTTTAAGATATATTAAATAGAGGGGTAATTATATTTGAGGAGGCATGCCCATCTCCTCGGGTGTCAAACTGGTACTCTCGATCATCACACCCACACCGACTTTCGCTGCGTTCTGAATTCTGGGATCAATACAGAACTTGGGCGTAATCAAGAACTGTACATACCTTGAAGTGGTCGATCTCTCCCGAAACCAAGAATGCGAAAGCGGGGGTGAAGCGTTGTTCCAGCAATGCCGAAACTTTTCCAGTTGAATCCACTTGCGCCCGGAAAGTTGCCAGCCGCAGATCGTATTTAGCGCCCAGAGTCGCGAGCGCGTCCCTTCGATTGGGTGCAGCAATAAGTTGCAAGTCCGCTGCCACTTCGACCTTCTCGCTGAGCTTCTGCCAGTATGTGGCCTGCAAGGCCCCAGCAGTCTGCAGTTGAGCGGTGGCGATCCAATTCTTGTCAGTCCCGGTGAATTTTGCTAGGTATGATGTGGTGAGTTCAGCGAGGTCAGGTGAAGGCCTTTGGAACAGTGTTTCAACGCCGAAAGCAATATTTTTGGTGAAGGACTGCAGGTAACTGCCGACGAAGATGCCCGTAAGGTCTGCCGGCCATGGATTGATTGCCTTCGCATTGATACTAAAGTCCTGGCCCTGGTAGTCATGCTCGACCTGAATCATATTCTGAGTGGCCTGTGAGGAGAACTACGTTGCGGAAATAGAAGACACGTCATTCACAAGCAAGCAGAACAGAGACCGACTGCCATACCTGAGCTTGTACTTTGGTTATGTGGTTTGGTGTCCATCCTTGGTTGAGACGAGCATTTACATTGCCTTCATGATCAACACCACCTTGGAGGAAGACCTGGATGGCGGAGGTTAGACACGCGTCATAACAAAACTTGACAGCAAAGTACCTGTTGGTTGGCAAAGATTGCGCCGAAGTTATAAGAGGAGGGAAGTGTTTGCGACCCCAGGGCAAACGAGTGCGTGACTTGGAAGAGAGGGTTCGCTGACAGACTCTTAGTCAAATCGGCGCGAGCACCATCGAAGATGTAGTTCGAAAGATGGGTTGCTAGAGAGGGCGGATGAATGAGTCTAAGCCGTCTCCATAGAACACGTCGGTATATCACCTTTAACTTCTTTCTGAAGATTTTCGACTGTTCCAGGGTGGGGCAAGCCCAGGTCTGTTCGCCATTGGTTGAAACGGTCATAAACATCAGCGAAGGGTGATATGGGGTTGAAGTACGATGTCTTCGAAGGAATAGTGGGTTCCGGGGCGTAGAGGTCGGGGGTCCCGACCTTCTCGAATTGTGAGGTGGAAGCCATGACCAGGCAACAACTTGTCCGTGTCACTCCGTTGGCAAATCAAGGAAAAAAGGCGACCAAACATGTGTAACCAACTCGTCACGCGATCAGCTCAGACACGTGGCATTGGTGGCGATGCACTTGGAGCCCAGGTCACTCGGTGCGCTCTGTCGGGAAACCCGCGTTGCGTAAGTACGGCGTGTTGTACGCGCTCCCTGTTAACATCTTTGGACCTGAACTTTGTGGAACGCGAACCGAACTCGAGGACGCCTCTACATTCGCGTTTCTCACTCATTCAACCACAGATGCTTATACTTAGGTTCCGCCAAGAAGTGGAGTGTACTCGGTTTTCCTGGAATCCACTACACAGTTGACCCTCGATTCACAAGGTGGCGCATCAGTCTCGTCACGACTGATAGACCATTGGCAGATCGCAAACCATCCCCGTTGTCACCCCAAAATTTTCCGAAGGGTTGTCGGATTCCTGACGTCACGGCTGCACGCGTGGAAGGCACCACAGCGCCGAGGAGACATCAAGAGAGATAATGGTAACACAAGGTAGCTTCGGAAACAAACTATAGGCTGAGTAGACGAGACGTTGTCCGAATTCCTGCACGGCGAGACATCTGCGACAATATTTAGTACGTGGTATGTTGCCGCAGTATGTACATTATTAGGTCGTGCTTTGGAGTGACTATTTTTAATCTCATCCTGATCGTTGCTAGATCTGTTTACAACGGCCCACCTGGCCTCTCCGACTCCGAGACTCGCACTCCAACGGCTATCTTAGGACGCGACTTTTTTGATTCGCACAACTGCGGATGACTGCATATAAAGAGCACTTCCACATTCACTCGTGGTACGCAATTGATACCATCAGCATATACACCTAGCTGCAAGCTCTCATGCTCACACCTAGACGATTCATCACTGTCGTACTAGTTGTCGTGGTTAGATTTTCTCTATCTCGTCGCGTGAACTACGCTAATCGTGCCACGTGCTAATTAGTTGAGCTTACATTTTTTTCTCGGTCTTGACTACGAGAGGCTCAGTTCAAGCATCTCTGAACAATTTTGGACACCTGGGCAACCTTTAGATATCTTATCCAATGCCACCGAACTGGTGATCGATACGAGTGTCGTCGGTTTACGAGAACCGAAGCGGAACAGTACAGACTTTTCATACCAGCGACAAGCAAATGCGACATTCGTTCTTCTTTGTAGGAACAGCGACCTAGCGGGCGTGGTCTCCAGTATACAGCAGATGGAGGATCGGTTCAACAGGCGCCACAACTACCCATGGGTGCTACTCAACGAAGAGCCTTTCACAGAGGAGTTCAAAAGGTGTTTTCATTCCAATCCGAAAATTTAACACTGAACTGAGAAGATGTGTAGGCGAGTCTCCGTGCTGACGGACGCCCCCATATTCTTCGGGTTGATACCAAGAGAACAATGGTTCCAGCCGGACTGGATTGACGAGAGTAAAGCTGCGGACGGGCGCCGAAGAATGATGTGGCAGGGTATCATATACGCAGGTGAGCATGCAATTTTTCTCGAACGAACAGTCACTAAAGTCTTGTGTTCACAGGAAGTGTTCCGTACGTTCTTCTCCACTTGCATATGGTGATAAGGATGGCTCATTTCCCAAGCAGATATCGTAATATGTGCCGTTTCAATTCTGGTGTGAGTCCGTCTATTTTTAACATGTGGATCAGTGTGTTCACGGGAGCTACTTATGAAGTTCTTCTTCCACCACGAGCTATTGAAACCGTATCGCTATTATTGGAGGTCAGTCTCTAGTTCCTGAACTCTAACCGCGCTATGTCATCTATTAAACCGTGCTCACTCAGAGTCGAGTGAGTTTGACTTTTGATTCATTTCGTCGCTGCGCAACTTCTGAACGTATGTAAACTCACAGACCCGACGTGAAATTTTTCTGTGATGTTACGTACGACCCCTTCCTCTACATGGAGGATGGCAATAAGGTCTACGGTACGTTGTCTCCCGGGTAGCATTATCTGACAATCGATCTAACCTTTTCATTACAAGGCTTCACCATATCTCTCATCGAGTGGGAAGCTACTATACCCACTCTGTGGTCCACGGTGAAAGGTCCGAATGATCGCTTCGAATTGGTTCCTTTGACTAATACCCTATTTCCTAGAATTCATCGCCGAATACCCCCAATATGTACAGCCGAACAACTCGATGAATTTTCTGTCAGATAATGACGGCGAGACTTACAACTTATGCCATTGTGCGTGAACGGCATCTATGACTCCTAAACTGTACGACTGACGCAGGAGCAGACTGGAGTAATTTCGAAATCGCTGATATGGATTTCTGGCGAGGTGAGGCCTATCAAACGTTTTTCGATTACCTAGAGTCCAAGGGCGGATTCTATTACGAGGCATGTGATGACAATGCTCATGTTGATTGACGTGTCACTCATATGCCGTCGCAGCGTTGGGGTGATGCTCCTGTTCACAGCATCGCGGCGTCACTTTTTGCACGAAGAGAGCAGGTCCATTTCTTCCGAGACATTGGATACCGACACGATCCCTTCCAACATTGCCCATCAGGCGATAGTTGGTCTGAAGGACGGTGTTCTTGCGACCCAAATGACAGTTTTGGTGAGTGGACCTGTTGTTCTCGGTAACGCAATCTAAACATGCCCGGTAGATTACGCTCCAAATTCATGTATAAAGCGATACGAGAATCTATTTGTATAACTATGAACCGATTGTAGGAATTTAAGTGTCGAATGATGGATGAGATCTCGAGATGGCAAGTGATGTATGATGACGAACCCTAACCTTAAACCCGAGGTCGATAAGTAGAGCACGTGGCTAGTTAGCAACAAGCTGCGCACAGTGACGGGTACACACATTCACTCACATTGCTTTCCCTCATTTTCCACCGCCAAGATGATGGCCCAAATGCGCTACGCGCTCCTGGTGCTGGGTGTAATCGTGTGTTTATTTGCCTGCCTTCATGAACACCTAGCTCAGCGCCCCGCAGATCAGCTTGCATTACATTCTCAGCTTCTCCAACGAGAACTATGGCCAAGTTACCTCCATCTCCCATATTAAAGACAAGATCGTCGGCAACAAGCAGCCACCATACAAAGTCCCCATCCCCGAAGAGTACTATATCAAGACGAATGCGACCACACCACCGCCGCGCAAAGCCAATGCTGTCTTTGTTTTACTCGGTGTGTTACATCAAATTGGTATCCATTGCGCTCTAACCTATGCAACCTTAGCACGTAACTCTGACTTGAACGGGGTCGTCAGCAGTATG